GTTTTGGTCCAACAAAGTTTGATTTATTCAAACACAAGTTCAATTAGCCAATTAAATTTAATGTCTTAGATTATGCATGTTGTTTTAAAAGGTGTGGAAATGCTACATGAGTTTCAGATAGTTTAAATAAATAGAACATTAGTCTTACAATTTAACTATATTTTATTTTAAAATAAATGAAAGCAATGTGGTTTTTGTTTTAAAGCAGAAAATTATATTAAATCCTATATTAACAAAGATGTATGAAATAAGTCAAATGAAAAACTCTTAAGACTCCTTTAGGTCTTTTAACCCCCATCTTGACATAGTCTTGGTTTCACTTTAATGATGTGTGAATAATTGTAAATAACTCATTTTTAAAACTGAAATTGTACTATCAACCCTAAAAATATCGATCAACTCGACAAACAGAAACCAATCCCTCAAAAAACAGCAATTTCAAGCTGTTTAAACTATCTTAATGCAATACGTTAGCTCATCTCAGTCTGTTAAACTGCACAATAAAAATGCCAAGTGTTCCACTACGAACTATTACTAAATTGTCAAATATTAAGGCATACGACTGAGCTAAAAACGGCCTCGAGTTTGTTTTCATCTCTACTGAAACCCAAACCTAAAGCAGAAGTTCTGCTGCAACACCTGGAAACCGTGTATTCTGCAGACATGTAACAGCTGGCCATCAATTCACGGAACCCATTAGAGAGGTTTGTTTTGTTCTCTTTGCCAACACCTTCTTTGTGTGACTCTACAATGTTTTTAAACAATACGATTATTGACATAAAAGTCGTAAAAAACAGTAATAATATTCAGGGTCTGTGCTTCTTATTTTGTTAGCCAAGTTATGCAGCCACCGTGCTGCTAACTGCTACAGGTGTCTATTTAGCGTTATGTCATAGCTATCTATTATCCAAGTCTAACACAACCTTTCAGTCAGCACACTGACACATAATGACCTTACGGTGAATTTAGAGATTATTTCATAAACGAGAGGGGTTCATACATTATTGACTGCCGCAGCAGAAGTGGGGAATGTTACAGCTAATGTTACTCACTCAGTCAGTTGGCACAGCAGCAGCAGTCTTGACTGACACGCCGATGCACAATGATGTTTCCAGCACAAGCTCTTCCTGGGAACCTTTAAATGTCAGCAGGCTACAAGCTCCAGCTACCTTCTGCGACACCTGAGACTTCGCTAGCTACCTGGATAAACACAGGAAAAGGCAAAATGTGTCATGCTAGCATTAGCTGCCTAATGCTACCTAGCAAAATAGTTCGCGAGATGATGATGATGTGCTTTTTTCTCGTCGTGTAAGCGACGGCGTCTCTGTGCTAACTGCGCCCTAATCAGATCAGGGATAACCAGTCAACGACGACAAAGCGGAGCTGGCAGTTTTATCGAGATAACTTTCCATCCACAGCCTTGCTCCACGAATAATAAAAAGTAGGAATTTTGCTTGCTGGAGCTGAGCGCGCATGCGCGTCCGAGTAACTGACGAATTCCCTTTAATTCCAACATAACGAAACGAAAATATGCACAAGCTTGTCATACAGGGGTTAACTACCTTCGTATGTGTATGTGGGGTAAATTTGTGAGGACATTAATGAACCTCGTTTATTTCCACCCTTTTCTGTTGATTTTAAGGGGCAAGCTATGGTTGACGTGTCTTAGAGCGGTTCGTCCAAGTCAGCCACAAACAAACGTGTGCAAAGGGAGAGACCTTTTATTTTGATTTGCCTTTGTAACTCTCTGCTGTATAATAACTAAACATTTTATGCTTTCTTAAAATCTAATCTAAATACTCAGTTCCCACACAAACCTCATCAAGTTATATGTAAAAAGGTTAAGGTTCTAATTTCACAAAAATTAAAGGTGAAAACAGTAATATATGGTAAACTGCATAAGCAAAATAATTATTTGAACTCTTTAATAATTTGGTTCACAAGCTGCAATAAATTTTATAGGAATTATAAAATTATCAGTCACAGAACACAAACCACTCTGTGGAAGAGTGGTGAGAAGAAAGGCATACAATTCACATTTAAAGATTACTGTAGGCCATACAGGGGACACAGGAATCACGCTGAAGATAGCGATCTGGTCAAACGAGACCACAATTGCATCGTTACCCAACATGAAAAAACATTGTTTGGTGAAAAACTATTATGGAAGATGAAGGTGGAATCATCATGCTTGTTTTCAGGAGCACGTAACAGCTGACCTTTCAGACCTCTCAGGTCTTCTGGTTCTGATCTGCTTTGCATCCCCAGAACCAGAAGCAAGAGAGGAGAAGCAGCTTTCAGCATCTATGCACCAAAAATCTGGAACAAACTTCCAGAAAACTGTAAAACAGCAGAAACCCTGACTTCCTTTAAATCTCAACTAAAAACACATGTTTAGAATTGTATTTGAAATGTGATATGTAACAATGCATTGTTTATTCCATGATGCATGACTTTGTGTTTTTGTGTTTATGATGTAAAGCACTTTGAAATGCCTTGGTGCTGAAATGTGCTATTCAAATAAAATTTGATTGATTGATTGATTGATTGATCAGGGCTTCCTTCATATTAGTTTATATTAAAAAATAGGTGAAAATTACAGTATTCCTATCTATCTATCTATCTATCTATCTATCTATCTATCTATCTATCTATCTATCTATCTATCTATCTATCTATCTATCTATCTATCTATCTATCTATCTATCTATCTATCTATCTATCTATCTATCTATCTATATCTATCTATCTATCTATCTATCTATCTATCTATCTATCTATCTATCTATCTATCTATCTATCTATCTATCTATCTATCTATCTATCTATCCATCCATCTATGTTTTTTGTGTCTAAATAAAAAGGATTTCAAAAGTATGAAAAGTGAAAAGCTGAAATGTATTATCCAGAATTTTGTGGCCCCCATATTTTTTTTTATTACAAATCAAAGTTCCAGACACGTTTTGTTTTGTACTTATATTGAATATGCGTGAGATATTCACAAATATGGCATTATCTAACCGCCCCCGGGCACAAATATGAGATTATCGAGAACTCCCCCTGCTGGACATATCAGCGTATTTAGAAATGATTCAAAATGAAGAGTTGTTATCTGTGATTGATTAAAAGTTGAGCAAGTGCCTGTGCTTTTAGGTAAATACCTTAGATAAGTTAATGTTGTTCAAATTCTATCACCTGTTCTCTCTTTTTAGTTATGTTTGTAGTATTGATGTAGTACATTTGTGAAAAAAACAAAACAAAAGAAAAACAAAACAGGAAATACAAATTTAGAAAGTGTGAGGTAGATTGGCATAAGGGACACACTATACACATTTTTGTGGAATTAAATCAGTTTGATTTATACTTTCCTTGAAAAATTCTTTAGAAAATCTGTAAGTTGTAACATTTCTGATTTATGCAAACAGTGTTTCAAGTAAGAGCCATTCTGTTAAAAGAAATCTGACTGCCCAAAAGCATACATTCTTTGTGGGTTATTATGATTTCCTCCGGCAGCTGACTCATTTTGAATTTGCCTCATAAAATTATTCAGTGGAGCAGGAACCAAAGTGTGTGCCATAACAGACTACTCAGTAGGAGAGCCGAGAGCTTTCATAGTCGCAGCTGTGCAGGAGGAAGCTTGTTATTTCTGAAGAGTTAAAATAAATGTGAGCAGTCTAGATTAATAAATATATAGCATTTACTGATGACTTAGATTATGATATCCTTACAAGATGTTTACCATGTATGATTATAGTGAGAGCTCTACTGCCTTGCAGCATGAAGTCTTATTATTTTTTAATTAGTACACCAGATAAGTACACTAGATCCATCCATCCATCCATCCATCCATCCATCCATCCATCCATCCATCCATCCATCCATCCATCCATCCATCCATCCATCCATCCATCCATCCATCCATCCATCCATCCATCCATCCATCCATCCATCCATCCATCCATCCATCCATCCATCCATCCATCCATCTTCTTCCCCTGATACGGGTTCAGGTAAAAGCCTGAATAGGGAGGCCCAGACTTCCTTCTTCCCAGCCACTTGTTCCAGCTCCTCCAGGGGAATCCCAAGACGTTCCCAAGTCAGCCGAGAAACATACTCCCTACAGCGTGTCCTGGGTCTTCCCAGGACACGCTCAAGAGGTGTTCTGGAACGTGCCCAGAACACCTCACGAGGGAGGCGTCCAGGAGGCATCCTAAATTGAGATAATAAACCAGAAGAGGGCATAAATTTGTTCCTAAAATTTCTAGAATGCCTGAAAGAGTTACCTTAATTACAATATTGAAATTGATCACAACATTATATTTTGTAACAAACTCATTGTAAAAGAACAAAGTACATGATTAAATAATTGACTAACCAGTTAAATTGCAGCCTGTGGTCTTTCTGAATGCTGTCACTGTGCATGTTGCCCAGGTCACTCAGTCAATAAATATGAAAATATAGGCACCAACACCTCCCTCCCTCCTCTCATATAGATTATCATGCACACACAGTTTATGTTGCACTTAATAGAACTTAAAATTAATGTTACATAAACCACTTCAAAATATAAAAGGATATTTATAAAAATACAAAGGTATATTTGTCATTATAGCCTACTATATACCAAATTATATAGTAGGCTATATTTGTAGATGAAAACGGGTGTAATCGCTGTAGTTTCCTAAGCGTCAGGAAATTGCCACTCCATAAGTGAAATATGAATTGTCTAAACTATCACATACATGTTTTTTTCCATGAAGACTTAAGTTAACAACAGTTAATATTTGTAACATATGTTACTATTGTAAAATACAACATTTTCAGTGCTAAGATGAACAAGAGATCATTTGAAGTGCAACCTTATGTGTGTTCAGCTAGCCTCGTTGCTGTGGAAGTTCCTATCTCCGAGCTTCCGCTAAGCCACCATCGGGGGACAGGAAGTAAACTGTTGGACCGCTTTGCTTTTCTTCAGGACGGCGATGTAGCCACCAAAGCTAGCTATGATAACCAACAGCCGATGCCAATATGATTCCCTCTGCAATGTTTAACTTTTCCTGTTGACAAGAAAGCGACTTCAAAGAACAAACAGTAGCTGGAATAACTGTCGAGGTAACGTAAACAGTTTAAACCTTCCCAGTAACTACGGGACTCTATATGCTAAGCTCGGTGATGTTTTGGTGCAAACTTTATTGTTGCTAGCTTGTTTGATGGAGGGTCTTTATTTGTATGTCTTTAGCATATGAAGTGATGGCAAACCATGGGTGATGACTGAATTTATGCTAAATGCTGTTTGAAATGATTACTTATGAGGCGACAGCCGAACGATTCCTGTTTTTCATTAAAACTTCCTTGTTAGGATGTTTGATGAACTTTGTTTTGGCGTTCAACATTGCTTGATCAGCCTCATTCGACTGTGTGCGTTTCACTGACAACAACGTAGTATTGTGTTACAGTAATTTGTTAATACTTTTGATACATTCAATAACACACTTTCAACAACTGAGAATGGATCTCATTTTAATAAGCAGAGATGCTACTCACTGACACATTATTGATATTATCGTTTGTGTCAGTTGAGTTTATTTTCTTGCAAAGAAAATAAACCAAAAGGCATATCATTTTTATTTCGTCCATCGATGCATCAGAGAATAATCATCTATATGTCTGTATCCATCCATCCATCCATCCATCCATCCATCAACCCACCAAACCTTTTTCTTAAAAAAAGTTATGTAATTAGTAAAAATCATAACCCAGACATTGATCACAATGTATTTACATCTCACAGTCTTAGTGGAATGCAAACTTAACTCAGCAGTGATGTGACACAAAGTCTTCTCGTAGTTGATTGTAGCTGGAAGACTGGCCTTGTAAAAAAACTGATATTAGGATGATTTAAAATCTGGTTGACCAACCAGTGTGCTCTCTTTTTTCACCTCCAGAGGTAATGTTTTATTACGCAAGTATTTTTTATCCATGGAAATGCTTGTATTTTAAATAGAAATGATCTGCTATATTGTTCAGGAAGTCAGAAAAATGCATTGGAGTGGTAAATATACTGAAATGGAGAGGGTTTGGAATGTACTCCAGGTTTTCTGTATAAGTAAGAGGGCGACAGATTGTTTTCTGAATGCTGGAAATAATGAAAAACTATAAGAACCATATTTATCTAAATACTCTTATTTTCTCTGTGTTATCTTGTCACAGCTGAGCTGAGTAGCATGCTGGACGTGGGGAAGTGGCCAGTGTTTGCACTCCTTCCTCCTGAGGAACTACGGCTTATCCGTCAGGCTTGTGTCTTCGGTAGTGCTGCTAACGAAGCTCTCTATGTTACTGTCAATGATGAGGTAAGGCTCAGGCTTTAAGTAAAGGCACCTTAATCCTACTGTTTGAATGGAGGTGTGCTGGCCTGACTTGACAGACCTAACCTACTTTGAGGATATTGATTTGATTGTTTCTTTTTCATGTCAACAGAAGGGGAAAAAAATAATGCTTTAGGATCTTAGTACTCAAGTTGAGACGAGGGGCAGTTCTCGGCACAGAGATAAGCAGATAGAAGGAGACTATCTTTAGCCATATTGGCCTAATACCCTAGCATGCTCTATATTTAACCAACTATGCATCCATGTTTGTTCATTCCTACATGTGGACTAAACAGGTAACAGTTTCAAGCAAGCATACCTTTGTCCTGTAATTGGTAATATTTCTTTGGTGGCAGATTTGTATTATTATTATTATTATTATTATTCCCTAGTAAATGTGCCCCTTAAAGGTTATTGGACAATAATAGTAATAATAATAATAGTAATAACAGTAGTAATAATAATAAAATAATAATAGTAATGCAAAGATTATTATTTAATCTCGTACATTTTTGTACTCTTCTTCTAGTAGAACTTTTTTGTTGGGCAAAATTTCATTGTGTTCAGTGTTTTGAGATAGTGGAGGCTACCACTAACTAGCTGCTAATACACAAATTTGGATGAAGGGAAAAATATTAAAAGGAAGAGTAACTGTCTTTAACAGAAATAAGAAAATCACAATATCTACAGTCAATAGATTAATACCATTTCTCTTTCTTAAATTTATTCATAAATTTGTCTTAAATTGGAGTTGATGAAACCTGCAGAAACCGTATTTAAGAACCAAGACCAGTTGGTGCAATTCCTCCTCTTTATTTATATCAATAAGCTCAATAATGGCTATACCAACAAATCACATAACAAAATACATAAACCTTGATATAATTTACATTTATAATTTCCAGGCAGTAGCAGCATGTTATAGATTTTTATTTTAATTAAATTCTTATTGCTTCTTATTTCATACAAAAATTAGTTTCAAGATCAAAGACCTTTCAATCTCAGTCAGTACTGGAGAAATAATAAGTACTGTTTCTTTGCATCAGCATGACTTGAGCTGTGATGTTTGGTGTTTGCAGGTCTTTGCCTTAGGCACCAACTGTAGTGGCTGCTTAGGCCTCGGAGACCTTCAAAGCACTATTGAGCCGCGCAGGATTGATATCTTGTGCGGAAAGAAGATTGTGTCCCTGAGCTATGGTACAGGACCGCATGTGGTTATCGCCACTGCAGGTAATCAGTTCGCAACATAATACTTCAGAAAATCTTTGTTTGGCCTCTAGGTGAAATTGTGATGGAAGGTAGAGGAAGGGAAACCAAAACAAATAACATGTTTTTACAGTGACTTCTAAAAGTATTCATGTTGATATTTGTCACATTTTGTACTGCAGTGATTATTTGTGAAGTGAAATTGCACTTTTAAGTCTTGTTGGTGTGTCTCTACTTAGAACATTTGGAGATTGATTTCTATGTGTGTTTGTAAATGGCATGTTTCTGGACTTTGACTGTACCATTGCAATACATAAGCATGGCTTCACATAAATCTTTTTCATTGTAAAGATGGAGTTTATGTTAAAGGATTTTTCCTAAGCATCCTGAGCATAATACTAAGGATGAGCACTGCAGATGTCACGATCGGACAGCAGGGAAGCGGCAGGGTTAAAACCTCAGACATGTTTTTTTTTTTTTTTTTTTGCAGGTTTACTCTGATCAGATTCCTAGTACAGCTGAAGAAATTTCTTGTCAAAACATAACAGTACTGCCACCACCATATTTCACCATGGGAATTATGTTTAGAGCAATGTGCTGTGCATTTAGCATCGGATGGCTTTCTTTCAATGATGACTTTCTTGCCTGTCTTCCATAATCATAGTAAAGTATGCTTAATAAAAAATGCACATCAAAGTTCTGACTTTTTTTTTTCAGTTAAAAAATGAGAAATACAAAAATAGTGTGTCTTGTGATTCAGTTCACAAATTTGCACAAATTTGTCCATCATGTAAAATTCCAATAAAATACATTAAAGTTAATATTTGTAGTGTGAGAAGATACAGTGAGAGTCATGGGGTATCAATAGTTTAACATTGCATTGTTTGTACTACCAATTCCATCTAAATGTTTAAAATTTATAACTATATAAAGGTGCAGCTATTTATTAAGCTAAAATAAGTCACATTGAAATAGTTAATTTTGTTTTAAATTTAAATTCACAGTAATTTGAATTACAAGACAAGATTGTTGTTGTGTGTATGTTTGTATGTGTGTTTCTTTTATTCTCACAATTTGTTTTCTCTATAAAAAGTGTCTTAAACTTCTTTTTCTTGCTTATCGGTTTCGAGCTCTGTTAATCTGATTTTATCTGCTGCATATGTTGGGTACAATGCCAGACCTCAGCCATAAATCATTTGACTTGGATTACTTCTTATCTTGTGTTTAGAAAATATTAACCACTTTGACAGCATAAATACAAGTTTTCCTGCTGCTGTGTAGATGGGGAGGTGTTCGCCTGGGGTCACAATGGCTACAGCCAGCTGGGAAATGGGACTACCAACCATGGTCTGACCCCTGCCCTGGTCTCCACCAACCTCATCAGCAAGAGGGTGACAGAAGTGGCCTGTGGCTCCCACCACACCATTGCGCTCACAAGTGATGGAGAGGTAAGTCTTCCCCTTGTCTTTTCATTTTTTGTAGTGCTTTGTCTGCATTTTTTTGGACTGTGAACTTTTTTTTCATCTGTAACCAGGTGTATGCGTGGGGCTACAACAACTCGGGCCAAGTAGGATCTGGGTCAACTGCCAATCAGCCAACACCACGTCGGGTTAGCAGCTGTCTGCAGAACAAAGTAGTGATCAACATAGCCTGTGGCCAGCTCTGCTCGATGGCTGTCCTGGATAATGGAGAGGTACCACAATGTGCTGCTTTCATATGAGAATAATACCTTTACACTAGTGTGTCCTATGTACTGAAAGGACACACTATCAATACATAAACCAAAAACTAAGTTATGTTGTTGAAATTTTATGACCATCATTTCTACAGTATTTTATAATATGGTTTAAGATTATTTTATAATGCACCTCATACGTGTTTTCTGTAGATTTACGGTTGGGGCTACAACTGCAATGGACAGCTGGGTTTGGGAAACAACGGAAATCAGCAGACTCCATGCAGAATCGCTGCTCTGCAAGGTGTCAACATTGTGCAGGTAAGAATCCAAAGTGTCAGAAACTTTTATAAAGGTTTTTAAAATATTTTTTATGAATGTATTGTTCACTTCCTAATTTAGGTGGCATGTGGCTATGCGCACACATTGGCTCTTACGGATGAGGGATTTGTTTATGCGTGGGGAGCCAACTCCTATGGACAGCTGGGAACTGGCAATAAAAGTAACCAAGCGCTCCCCATCCTAATAAATACAGACAAGGAAAGGTCAGTAAATTGTTTGCACTGTGTTGTTAAGTAATCACATCACCTTACTGGAGCCTCCATTTCAATGAGGGTTATTGAGTCGAAGCAAATTATTTTCACATGTAAAATTATCCTTATAGTGCCTTGCAGAAGTATCCATACCCACTGAAATTTGTAACACGTTTTTATAACGTTTTGTCATGTTACAAAGACAAATGTAAGTGTCCCAATGGAGTTTTTTTATGTAGTAGAAAAAAGCAACTTTTGTATGTGTGATAAGACAAAATCAAATCAAATTAAGTCTGAAAAGTGTGCCATGCAATTCAGTGAATTTGCATTCAGCCCTCTTTTAATAAATGAAATCCAGAAATTTGTTTCTGAGTGAATCAAATTTCCATCAGAAGTCACACCCACCCAGATATGACCACAAAAACAAGGAGGGAATTAATAACAGAAGCAATCAATCCATTCTTTCTCCGAAGGAGCTGCAGAGATCCCCAGAGAATCTGTCGACAAGACAGTCATTAATTGGATGTTCAAAAAAAATCTGACTTCTGCAAAAAATATTGTAGCATAAACTTTCTGGGCTTTATAAAAAATTGCAGTGGATTACAAACGTATAACATTCCTAATGTTTAAAAATTGCAAATAATTTTATCTTTATGTTATAGCGCATGAAATTCCAATAAAAATATTAAAGCTTGTGGCTATAATATAAAACATGTACATTTAAAGTATAAGAGCACTTTGCAGGGCACTGCAGCTTAGAATTGTTCTCCTTACGTTAGAAGGTTGAACTGGATTTGAATTGAGATTTTCTACCCAGGATGGTGGAGGTAGCTGCCTGTCACACCAGCCACACGTCAGCTGCTAAGACGCAGAGCGGGCAGGTTCTGATGTGGGGTCAGTGTCGAGGTCAGGCCGTGTCCAGCCCTCATCTTACCCACTTCAGCAGCACTGATGACGTGTTTGCCTGCTTCGCCACACCGGCTGTCACGTGGCACCTTCTCTCAGTAGGTAAGACTCCTGCAGAAACAGAAATAAAAAAAAAAACAGGCTCCCAGATGTCCACAGATCTTAATAAGTCAGGCATTTAGCTGAATACTTAAAATTGTTCTCATTGCCATATTTCCCCTCTTGACCTTTTTAGAAGAAGGGGTCTGCCGGGTACCAGTACTCCTCAATAATTAAGGGATATTTGTTGAATACTTCAAATTGCTGCCTTAGTTATCTTTAACCTTTCACTTGTTAGAGATACTCATTCAGGAGGCACATGTTTTTGTGTCATAAGTACAAATTCCTGGAAGTGGTCTAAGAAATAAACAGGAAATCCTGTTTCCTCACGGTGTCAAGCAAGTGTTTATGAACTCTGCTTTCAACAGTGTTACTTTTGGTTTACTGCCCATTTTGTGAAGCTAATGGCACCCAACAGTTAAATTACAAATACACTCTCATGTGTGCAACATTTACGATTATTTTCATATGCAATTTTTATTTTATTACCCATTCAGCCCCAATGTTGAGTGCAAGCCCCTACAAATAAATTCATATTTATTTGTAGAAATAAAGAAATTCAGGATTTCTTAATTCAGATAATTGACTTAATATTATAATTAATATAAATTACAATAATAATTGTAACTGATGGAAGATAGAAATTTATACCTTTTAAGTTGATGACAATCACAGAAATATTTTTATTAGCCATAACTTCCTGTTTTGCAAAGACGTCAGGAACTATGGAAAACGATCCTGGTCAAGAACCCATATTTTATTTTGGCTTCACTCGAAATGAGCAAGATGGGAGAGTAGATTTAAACAAAAATTTGAAAGTTTACTGTTGGAGAATCATGGAATCTGACTGTGTGCAGTGACCAAGTCAGATGAGGCTTTAAAATAAAGATAAAAACATTGAAGATAACCTCTTGTGTTTTTTGCCAGATGGAGATGACTACCTGACAGTTGCCCAGTCTTTGAAGAAGGAGTTTGACAGTCCAGAAATTTCTGACCTTAAGTTTTTAGTTGATGGGAAGTGCATATATGTTCACAAAGCTCTTCTGAAGATCAGGTAGGAAAAATTAAAAGGTCATTTGATTGATGGTTGTTTTGTTTTCACACTTTTCGTAAACTGACTTGAACTCTTTAGATTCAAAATTTAGACAGATTTACTACAATTTACAAGTCGTCTAGAGTGTGTTGTTTGGTGAGAAGTGCTATAGCTGGAGTGTTTATGAGTCAAATATTTGCAGCAATTTCTTTCCTTTTGTCCTCTGTCCAGGGATTTGTTCTTGTCACATGAGGGCTCAGATGTTTTCTTATTGTTAGAAACGTTATATGATATTACTGATTGATAGATAATTGTACATAGATGATATCAACAAAAACAGCAGAGCACACATTCTATAAAAACAAATTGAGCATGAACTCCTGAACTTGAACAGTATTTGCTGGACAGTGTTCCCTGTCAGTAAAGGGGAAGCGGAGAGCAGCCTATTGTTTCCCGTGTTTCTTTTTATAACCACACTTGAAAAACACAGTGTGTGCATTCCAGTCCCTTGCTCTTTTGCACTGTCAGGAGGAAGGAGCCGGACTGTCTGCACAGTCAACAAAGTGCACACACTCGCACAAATAATGCCTGGGGCGCAAAACCTCTATTTTGACCATATCTCATGCTAACATGTTAAAGACACTTTAGAGACGAGGAGTCTGTTGATTGTTCTCCTGTATCCCTGGGAAGCAATGACAGCAGCTGTGTTTATGGCCAGTTGAGGCTGATGGTGAAGGGGGCAGGCGAAAGTCAAAAAAAGTGTCTAAAGTATCATAACAGACTGAAAAATATAGAGCGTTATAACATAGAAGATGAAGGACAAAGATGTCATGCTAAGAGTGCACCAATTGCAGCTTTCTAGTTATCAATTTGCTGATTTCAATTTTGTCCAATAGCATTTTTTTTGTTGCTAAATATAACCAGAAAATTGCTAGGTTGGTAACAATGGGGTGGCTATTGTTTGGTCAGTCAATCAGCCATCTGACACAGCAAAACAAAATGGTGGAGTGGCTGATTTTCAGACTTTTGCAAAGATGGATACGATTAATTTTTAGCGTAAGTATTGGCCGATCTCCCAAAAATTATGGAAATTGGGCCAATTTATTAATAAGTCCATTTTTTGGTGAACTTCTGCTTTTTTTATTCTTTGAAAATACAAAGACAAAAGCAATTCTAAAGGCAAACTTACATTGCATGTTCTTCATCATGCAAACTAAATATTATGTCATTTTTTTTAAAATCTAAAGTTTATGATCTCTCTATAAACCTTTGCAAAGACAGTTGTGTAAACCCAAAAAAATAATCAAACATTCAAAAACAAACAATAAATGTACCTTTGATGGCATTTTTGCTATAGCAATGCATTTGATGAAAAGTGAAATGATGTTTCCACCTGCTACACAGGGGCAATCTGTTGCTGTGAATTGTAGAAATTATTTCCTGAAGTATGTTCTTTATGACGACGGAGATGTTGGATCGAGCTCGGCTGTCCCTGCTGTGCGTCATGGAGCAGATGTGACGGGTTGTTTGTTTGGTAATGTCACGTTCCTTCCTGGCATAGACGTCTCCAGGCTGAATCCCGTGATTCTTTATGAGAGAAGTTATTGACACTGCTGCTGCTCCCCCAGCAGACCACAGCTCAGAATATACTGAATATAGTTTCTGTCTGAGATATGAGGACGATTTCCACCATTTTACAGCAAACATGAGAGGATCTGTAGTCTGTAGGCTCATTTGATTCTCACACACGGCTTGAGTTTTGATTCCCCAGTCAGGCGTTATTCAGCATAGCTTAAAGCACATCTTATGCCATTTTGATATTATTGATTTGTTTCAACACATCACAAAGTAACATAAGCAATAAAAGAATATACCTTTTCAATATTTTTGTGCGTCTTAATAATTTATCCATTCATTAAACTTGCTCAGTTTCGTAGGCACAAAATAATTGTTGAAAACCTTCATAGGTGTTAATAATAAATGCAACAACAGGCATATTGAATACAAAATGCGTGAGAAATATACTTCAATGCTGTATCAATAACAAAATTGCAGCACAGTTGCCTCAGTATCAAAATATTTTTGTCACAATATCTACATGTAGAACATTCATGAGAGATTTGGATACTGCAAGATTTTCCTGAAATGTGCAGCCATAATATTTCCATCAGAAACAAAGTTGTTTCATTTTTGAATGAGCAGCAAACTGGCTGCTTTGATGTATCAATAACAAAGCTGTTGCAATTTACAATTTTTCTTTCAAGTTTTGTAGAGAAATCTGACTTGACTGCAGTAAACAGTCCAGTGTAACATCAAGCAAAACTGTTTTTCATATCCTAATTTTATCATTAGATTCTCTAACCAGATTGCACTAAATGCAGACACTAACATCCAGTCGAGTTCAGCAGTTAACAGAAATTTGCATGTAGTTTTGCATGATTTTGCAATTGTGTTCCCTTCAATAGCCAACTGATCCAAATGCAGAATGGCTTTAAGTCCCAGAGCAAAATGTTTTTTTTTTTCTTGTTTTTTTTTTTTACTGTTTTAATTAAGAGAAAACTCCAGGTTCTGAACCATTTAGGCAGTACTTGGAGCTTTAAAAGTGACCAATCATGCTGGGAGGAAGATTATGTCTCCAAATTGCTTTTTAATGAGAATTTGAAGATAAAACAAAAACAGACAGATATAAAAAATGTTTCAGATTCTGAAATTACTACGTGTGTTTCACCATTTATATTGCTCGCCTGTAGTTTTATCACAGCAAGACAAAAACAGTTGTGTACGATTGCATCCAGGTAATTTATCTTCAACAAAGTAAAGTGTTTTGTTTTTATTGTGGGGTAGTGTGTGTGTTTGCTTGCCACTTCCTCCTTGCATTTTCACACAGAATGTCATCATGGTCCACTTGCTGCCTTATCATGTTTGCTGCATCTGAGTGAATCTAAGCAGACTATTTCTCTTGATGCAATTCTCAAATAGTCCAGACACTTTTTCTTTTGTTAAACCAAAACTAAAGAGTAAACTATGAGGAATCATTCATTTTGGGTGTGGCATGCTTTCCTTAATTTTCTGCATTTTCAGTCTTAGCTCGTTTCTAGCTTTCCTACTATAACTCCTCCAGTACTGCCCTGTCAGTACTGCCATGTTTTTTCCCCATCTGATTCAACCTTGTTGTCCTTGAGGCTTCTGAATGCCTCGTGCCCAGCTGTGATCCCTTTTGTATTTGGTCTTTTGAAGTCTAGGAATTGGTTTGATCTTGAGGCACACTGGAATCTTGTGAATAATCAGACTGAGCTTTGACTCATGAACAGCAGCTATGTTTATGTAATTTGTAACAGATAAGCAAACAAATGTTCAGTTACTGCTCTGTTATCTTTCTTCCTGTCATAATAGTAGTCTGTTCTTCTTTGTCCCTCTCTAGGTGTGAGCATTTCCGTACTTTGTTGAATGAAACCGATGAAGATGCTATAGAAATTCACCAGTTCTCATATTTAGTGTACAGAGCCTTCCTGGAGTATCTCTATACAGACAGTATTAACCTGCCACCAGAGGATGCTATTGGTAAGCATAAACTTGGATAGATGTGGTTTAAGACCAGATCATGGTGGTATATATACCTCGTGAATTCATTTAGATTTCAACCACAAGCCCTTTGTGCTTCATGCCGGTTGTATATTTAGAACTAGAAGACTGCAGCATGTAAATTTTTTATTAACATTAGTCAAAAATTAATTTGAAATTAGCAAAAGAACATGCTTTTCAATGCATGTTTCTGAGCAATATTTGCTTGTTTTTGCATTAGTCACAATTGTGTGACTAATGTGTTTTTGATTAATTTTCTTTAGGTTCTGTTACAAAATAAAAATCTGTTACCTAAAACCAAAAAGTCAAATGTAATTCTGGTTATTTAACAAAAAATATATATACAGCAAAAGTTCACAAAAGTTATTACGTTTTTAGAAGTGATGCACACATTTTTGTTATTGTACTAACAGCTGAGTTAATACTTTGTTTTGTGCTTTAGAGTTTCTGCCAACTTTGAAAACATTTAGTGCACTTTGCCTTTCTTGTATAATTTTTCCTGCTAAATTCTGAAGCACTAATTTAGTTGGCCCCTTTGTGAGCTTTCAGTTGAAAAAAGTTTTCCCATGTGTTGAAATTTTGGTTATTGACTATTGAGGATTTTGAAATAGTTGAAGACTGCTTATGCAGCAGTTCTGTTTTGTCTCCTCACAGTCTTTCCCTTCCCCCAAACCTCCACCCATCACAGCCAAAATACCTTTATTTCAAACAAGACAAAATACAGGAACAATATCTCGCTCTTCATCATTAGTTTCCACTAAATACCTTGTTGGTATGGCACTTTAAATTTAATTAATATCAAATCAAATTTTATTTGTATAGAATATTTCAGCAACAAGGCATTTCAGACTGCTTACTATCATAAAAATACAAAGTCATACAACACAGTCAGCAAATGAAACATTACATGTCTGCTAATGCAGCTTTAACATTAGAGAAACTAATGTTTATGATTAGCACTTTAGGGTTTGCGCAACTGACTTTTTAGTTAGCACAGAATGTTGTATTAACATAAAAACATTTTTGATGTGGAAGTGTGGCCTTAGTGAAAAGTATGTTTAATGCTTGTTTGTTTTTAAGCCAAATGTCAGCTGAGGTTTTTCAGAGATTAAATTACACACAGGTGGAGACAGTAGGTCTATCTGTTGATCCTGGACGCAGCTGTCGGGGTTTGATCTTTGCCTCCCTTTGGTTTCTGCTCATTTCCTGCCTGATCTGGCTTAAAAAAATTATACGCATCGAGATGTTAATACTAATAAAGAAACTTCTAAAGGGCATTGTGGTTTTAATTAGGGGTATTGTAGTAAAAAGGGCTACAATCAAATGCAGTTGAAGATTTTTAATTGGAAAAAACATTAATTTTCTTCTATTTCACAATCAGGCACTATTTACATATGTTTATCTTTTCTATCAAAAGATAAATATAAATCCTTGTAAAATGTACAAAATTGTCAATGGTGTCATAACATTTCTTAAACCGAAATAGCTGTAAATATACTCAGATGCTGTGAATTCGTTTCTTCTATTTGCAGGGTTGCTCGACTTAGCAACGTTTTACCGAGAAACGAGGCTCAAAAGATTGTGTCAGGAAACTATCAAGCGGGGCATTTCTGAAGAGAACGCCATCACTCTGCTTTCTGCCGCCGTCAAGTATGAGGCTCGGGTAAGATCACTGCAGAGCGTTGGCAGGGGGGTCCTGCACAGTAGCCTCTAGTCACTCATACTCCTCAGCACTCACCACATAGCCCTCTTCGTTTTTAGGACCTGGAGGAGTTCTGCTTCAAGTTTTGTGTCAACCATCTAACGGCTGTCACTCAGACCCAGGCTTTTGCAGACATGGATCATGACCTGCTCAAGAACTTCATTAGTAAGGCAAGCCGCTACGGGGCCTTCAAAAACTAAAGCGCCCCTGTGGCAATGGATTCTTGACAATATGTTTTAATTCTGCAAAAGGGGAGCCGACCAAAGTAAACATTGAGCTGTTTAGCTCTGCAAAGACGTATTGCCGGGGATGTAAACACTGAAGAGGCAAGTGGTTTTGGGTCACAGTGGCTATCTGATCCTGCCGTGTTACTACTCTAAGCCTTGTCCAAACATGGTGAAGTGGCACAGAAGCATTGGGTTACTCTACTAATCTGGCCTTAACATGAAGAAGTGCAGCAGAGGTTGCAGTTTGTCAGACGAGCATATCTAAGAACAAGCTTAACTGCGCCTCCATCTGCCTGCTTTAAAACAGACATACAACAAGCATACAAATGGATGCCTATTGCTTAAACTGCTGTATGGTTATTTACATTTATCCTTATACATAATCAATTTAAGGACTTTTAATCGCAAACTTCCAAATTCTGCTGGAAGCTTCGACTGAACTACAAAGCAATCAGCGAAAAATATATCAGCCCTTCTTATTCTGCTGCAACTTACACATCACTCAGTCGATATCTATCAGAGATACATGTGTATATACTGTATATATGTTTTCTGTTTTTACACTAATGTAAAGCAAAAGAAGGCAAGTGTGGTGATTAGAAATAGTTCCATCATGTTGGGTGATCCAGTGGAAAGCTTCATACTCTGTTGTTTACCTAATCTAAGCTTATGAAGAGCAGAAAGTAGTGCAGAGTTGATGGAGAACCAATCACTGCTCATAAATAAATTACTAAAAAGTTAATTATCATAAAACTTATATTTCTTTTATATTCCTTATGTCATTTGGATGCCTTGGTTCTCATAATTTTGAAAAGTCAGAATTTTACAAAGCGTCCAAACTGTTCCGCTTAGAATGCCCTACAAAGTATTTAGTAACTCTATAATTATTGGCATCTCTGGTAAAGATGTGTTCAAAACTCTTGAATTGAAGGATTAACATGGAGAAACTGTGATTGCATTCTTTGTTGAGGTTCTCTAACCATAAGCTTTGAAATGAGTTTTTCTTCTTCCTTTCTTACTGTTGGTTCTGTATGCATCTACTGTTGTTTGTATGTTGAAGTTGTTTTAAACTTTTGGAAGGTTATCTACTGTCCTGTTGCCATTTTATGACATTAGCACACATCTAACTTACTTAAATGAAATGTTCTTTTGTTTTCCCCACTTTAAAGATGGACTTTGAAAAAAAAAGAGCATGAACAAAACAGTAACTTAATAATTACTGTATGCATAGGTATACAGTATGCATACCTACTGTAGAGGTATGCATTGAAAATTCATAGTTTGCATCATTTTTGACTATGCAAACAAACAAGGCATATTTTGGAATTGCAACTATGACAATAACAGATATATATATATATATATATATATATATATATATATATATATTTTTTTTTTTTGTCTTTTGGTATCTGATTTCCATTTTCTGACTCAACTTTACAAAAAGCTTCCCAGACACTAATTTGAGCAAATTTCAACTTTATTTAAGAATTATAAAATAATGTATAACAGCACTCAATAGGTTTTCTAACCTTCACTTTTTTCAAGCAGAGGTTATGTCACACTGTATGTGAGAAAGCCATTCCTCTGAACTGCTGAATCTCTCTTTTTTTGCGCTGAACATCTTGCTATCACTCACTCTTTCGCAGCCTGAAGGAGCTACAGACATTTCTTGACAATACAAATACAACTTTTTACATTTCTGTTTCCTCTGATTTATATTTTAAGCACAATCCTGTTTTTGAAAATAGCTAAATTTGAGTATTCTTTTCATATCAACAGCATCCCACACAAAAAAGGTTTTATTATCTTGACCTGGCATCTGGTGTTTTCAGTTATTTGAAAAATAACACATTTTTCTTCCCATTTCTGGCTAGTCAGAAACAATCAAGTTGAAAATCATCTATCAGTTTCCTGCCAATTATTTGCTAGAGCTCCTTCTTCTTTTTCTCAAAATCAAAAACCAAAAAGCCACATCTACATTGCCTCTTCACCCTGGGTGACACTAATTGTAGAGGATGCTATATGTTTGACATCTCTAATTCAAAACAGTTTGTATGGTAATTTCACCTTTAATGAACAGTTTTACCACATTTTTTATTGTTTACTAATTTATGCCATCAGAACATGTTACAATTGTTGAGCAATTGTTTGCTAACACTTGGCCAGAATGGAAAAGAAATGTTTTTTTTATGCATAAATTTACTTGTAATGAGCTTTATATGATGTGAACTGTGCAGCTGGAAATTGTGCTTTACTCACAACAAACATGACAAAATCCATGTTTACTGTTGCTGTGTGGATGAAGTTAAATAGAAATGTCTTTTTTTGGGTATGTTTACACAAATTTGTTTTTGTAATTGTTATGAATGTTATTGTTAAATTGTTGTCTGCAGGTGTTTTTTTACAGTAATATATCTCTTACATCACCTTATGGTAACAGGTACTGATAGTATTGTTTCAATAGGCAATTTATATTGTTTAGAAAAATTGGATATAAAGAAATATCAGCTTGCTTTTACTTTGTATGATTGATGCTGATAATGTCTGATAGACATGCTGAAATAAATAACATAATCATAAATTATTGTTTTTTTTTCTTATATTTATTTGTACTGGATATTTATTTATCCAGTACAATCCACTAAAAAGCAGCCTCATACCGTGATGTTTCCACCTTTAAACTCTACTGTTGATACAGGTTGATATAAAATGCGTTGAGATTTTTACTTCAGACTAGGTGTGCAGTGACATCCACACGGAGCAATTTCTGTGTCACCTAACCCGAACATATTGTCCCAGTGTTTAATGGGATTACACCCATTTCTGGAAGACTGATTTTCTGTAACATTCCTTCCTGTTTTAATAAAAGTGACAGAACAGCATGTTTTTTTTTTTTTTAATTCCATCCCCTGTTACTTTTTGTAGTAACTTTCAGGAATCAGGAGGTAAAGAATGGGTTTCATCCAGACAACAATTTGCATACATTCATTTGATATGGGTGACATTGTCTCGAACTGCACGTTTTGAATGTGATCTGTCAGTGAAGAGAGAGATTGTTTGATTTGCAGTCTGCTTTCAAATGCACATTTTATTTTAGAAGGGTTCAATCAGTTGGATGCAAAACTTTAACTTGAACCATTTTGACACATTTATGCCCAAGTGATATTCTGAGAAATGTGCAGATAGAATGCACAAGTGTACACATTTGAGAACTCACTGTTTTTTGCAGTGAGTGGACATGCAGACAATGGCTCCAAATGGATTTCCTTTATTTTCTAAATTTCTTTAAAACTTATATTCTCTATCAAATTAATGAACACAATTTTACTTTTTGTATTATTTGCATCTCCGGATTACAATGAAATAATTGAAATGTCAGTATAAATACAATATATTTATTGAGACCCGGTTTGATTGGTAAATGAAAGGATGCTCTTTGAACAATAACAAAAATACAACAACTTGCATTTAGCTGAACTAAATGTTCAGCTTGCTATGAGTGGTGTTGTCATTTAGGCAGGAAGTGGTTGCAGTGACTAGTGATGTTTCAACAACCTGGCACATGCATTCACTCTCATATTGTGCAAGATTCTTTCTGGACCAGTAATGTTTTGCATGTCTGCCTGCAGTTTTCCTGATGTGTGCCGTGAAGTGTCTTGACATCAACTAGCTTTGTAGTGCTTTAATTCCATCCTGGTTATTTTAATGTTGAAATTTGGAGATGAGGTCATTGAACATGTGAGCTAGAATTCTTTGTACCTTTTCCAGTGGAAATGATCGCATTTTCATAGTGAGCCTTAACACAAAGCAGGAAATATTTGGGAGTACCCACATTTGATCGTGCAGTTGCTTTATTCAAACGGCCGCTCCCAAAGCAATTGACTCATTTACTAACAGCAAACATGAAATGTTTTTTTTCTATTCAGTTAAGAGTGAATACCTAATACTATTCATATTTAATTCCATATGTTTATCACATAATTTTTTTTATTTTCTGCTCTGTATTACATTTAAAGGGGAATATATATTTTTTTAGGAATATAGTGAAAGCAACATAATAAACAAGACAAAAATTATTTTTTTTCTAAATAAAGCACATAAAATGATCTTTAAAAAATATAAAGCTACTCTACCATTAATCAGCATATCACATACCATTGCCAATAAGGAAGTTCATCCAACTGCCTAGCTGTCCTAAAATCTTGTTGAAACCTGTTGATCTGGCAGAGTGTAACTGACACTCTGCCAGCTCTTTAATCAAGTAGTCCAGTACAGTGTTTTGTGACTTTGACACATTACGTCAGGTTGGACGTATATTGCTAAAAAAACATTATCCATAGCTTTGAGTGTCTGATGGAGCTCAGTTCAATCTATCCTCCAAAAATCTGAAAGAGAATATAGTACGTCTACAAACCAATAAAACACTATGCTGAGTGGCATGAAGAAAAACACTGTTAAAATGACCGTTTATTTGTAGAACAAAGTGTTCTGCTCTGGTTTGTTGATGGATTGCATTTGAGTATTTTAACCTGGCATGTAAAATTGTGATGGCAAAAACCCATCCCTTCAAATCAGTGTGAACACATTGCCAACAGAAAAAAAATGGTAGAGGACAAAAAAGGTTGCTCTGCAAAGCATAGAAAACCTAATCTAAAACCAAAACCAGAAGATGTAAAAGGTCATGACTGTGAATACTTCTCAAAGGACTTGTATTTGTTAGTAATTAATTTACAAATGATTATTTTTTGAAAGAAAAACATTCTCATAAGCATGTTTTTGCAGATTAGTGTGTTTTGGACAAAGGTAAAGCAGATGGCTCTTGGTGAAAACACAATTTGTTGACGGACAAATAAAGCTCTGCTCTTTTACCGAGATACTGCATGTGTCATTTCCTACTCTCAATCAGATTGTTTGTGGCTCCCGTGTGGTTTGCTCTTTTGCTTTAGAGGACTACAGCTAAACTGTTTGTCTTATCTGCATGGTATTTCCTTTATGATGCAGTACATTAATGAACCTTTTTGTAGTTGTGCTCTTGTAATGGGGAAACTTGAGAAGAACATTCAGGAGGACTTTCCAACCACAATCCTACACCCTGCGTGCAGAATGTGGCTTGTTTCATTCTGGAAACAGATCTAGAAATTGTGGTGTCACGCTCGCTGAGGTTTTACTTTGGAAGATTGTTTTTTTGATTTAGTTAAGAATACATTTATTCTTATTAAAAAGGAAATCACATCAGATGAGGTTTTTCAGAGGTTCAACTGTTGATGCAAACTCATCTATCCTTCATAAAAAATTTGTTCTTCTCAAGCCCCTAAATATTCACTGCATTTCTCTATTATAGGTTATGTTAGTATTCAAAGTGTGACTAATTTCTGTCGCCATTTTCTTTTTTTTCCCCCAAGAAACTCAAAAGAAGAGTGGCATTGCATGTAAAAGAGGAGGAGTGATGCAGGTGTGTGGGCAGGTTTTCATTGCGGCTTTCAATAACCCAAACCTTGCTGCTTTTTCATGAGCACATGCTTGTTAAAGAAATAAAGTAATTTCCTGAGACCTATGTAAGCAAATGTCAAAACCACTTTCAGTTTAAGATAAGTTGAAGACAACTTATCTAACGTATGTTGGAATTCCAACTTATCAATGCCAATTTCTCAGATTTGAGTCTGTGGTTTTGGCTCAAATTGTAGATACAAAAATAACATCTTCAGAGTAAAAGGCTTGTTCTCCAGGGATTGAACATCCTTTATCTAATCTAAATAGAGATAAAAGCATATTTTTTAAGAACATATCATTTGCATGATATGATTAATGTCCTCTTTTAGCTACCTTAGGGTACATAATTAACCTGTTGATATGGTAATGTTGCACGTAGTACAAACTAGTTTTCTGTGATGTTTCTTGCAAAAGGAACTAACAGAGAAGGATGTGCATCTTTCCTGTTATAGATGACACTTCAATTTATCAACAAGGGACATTTTGGTGGATACTAATGATTCATAAACATCCTATTTATGTGCATCGTTGCATAGTAACAACTGCCACATGGATTGCTCTCAAATTGAACTTAAGCAATTTCAAGGCACGTTTTAGACATTCTTTCGCTTTTAAGATATTGCGAAATGTGGTTCCGTTAAAAAAAAATATTATTATGAAAGCACTTCCTGCAGCCTCTTTTCAACCTTCTTTCCCCTTTGCTGACTAGCACCTTCGTCTTTATTTTCTGATCTACAACACACTTTGAAACATGATGTCCGTTGAGACTATTAAACAATGTTATTATTTTTAAATTAACATCTAGTACATGGCTTCCTCGTAATCATGCAAATATTCAACTCATAGTC